CCCTCCCTCTTTCCCTCTATGTCCCTCCCCTAGTCTACTAATAGGGAAGGACCTCCTCCCCTTCTATCTGATCCTAGCCTATTAGGTCTCATCAGGACTGGCTGCATTGTCTTGTTCTCTGTCCTGGAAAGGCTGCACCCCCTAGGGGAGTGACCAAAGAGATAGCCACTGAGTTCAGTCAGAGACAAACCCTGCTCCCCTTACTAGGGAGCCCACTTGGAGACTGAGCTGCCTGTAGGCTACATCTGAGCAGGGGTTCTAGATCCTCTCCAATACATGGTCCTTGGTTGGAGTATCAGTCTCTGCAGGGCCCCCTGGGCCCAGGATTTTTGGCTCTGTTGATCTCCTTGTGGAGCTCCTGTCCCCTCCAGGTCTTTTATCTCCCCCTTCTTTGACAAGATTCCCTGCACTCTTCCCAATATTTGGTTATGAGTCTCAACGTCTGCTTTGATATCCTGATCGGTAGAGTCTGTGGTAGGCTCCTGTCCTGTTCCCTGTCTTCTCCCACTTCTGATGGCTATCCTGTTTGCCCTTCTGAATAAGGATTGAGCATCTTCCATAGGGTCAATGTATGTTCATCATATTCATCCCCTTACCCCAACTCTTCCCAGATCCACCCAACCTTCCACATTCACTTAAACTCTGACTTTTTTTTTTCTTTTTAAGCCCTTGAAGATCAATTTGTGCTGCCCAAATTTTCTTGGATGTGTGGCCTTCCAAGGGCAGCTGCACATATGAGCTCACAGCAGTTTAGACAGCAAGCACAAGACCTCTGCAGGCTCTAGTCAGACCTATGAAATGCCAGAAAGAAGGGTCTGGGGAGTAAAATCAGACATTAATGGTGCTTTTCAGCACAAGGCTGAGTACCTAGGTTCAGTAGTAGAAAGCCAGGCCTGGAGGATTGTCCTCAGGATCTTAGGCTTGCTGGGTCACTGACTAGTCAGGTTGGTATCACAAGCCAGCAAGCCCAGCTTAAACACTAACTACACATCTAAGAGAAAGACTGACAAGGGGACCAAACCCTGAAGAATGTGTGAAACTCTAACAACACACATTTCTGCTGGGGCATGTGTAGCCCCTCAAACATGTATCTGCTCACAAAGGACACTTACAGAAACAATGCAGACACACAGGA